TACATAAGGGGGGATCTATGATGCTGATACCATGTATAATACAAAAAGGGGGATATGATCTCCATGTATAATACATAAGGGGGGATATGATCTCCATGTAAATACATAAGGGGGATATGATCTCCATGTATAATACATAAAGGGGGATATGATCACCATGTATAATACACAAAAGGGGGGATATGATCTCCATGTTTAATACATAAAGGGGGATATGATCACCATGTATAAATACATAAGGGGATATATGATCTCCATGTATAATAATACATAAGGGGGGATATGATCTCCATGTATAATACATAAGGGGGGATATGATCTCCATGTATAATACACAGGGGGGGATATGATCTCCATGTATAATACATAAGTGGGGATATGATCTACCATGTATAATACATAAGGGGGGATTATGAATCTCCATGTATAATACATAAGGGGGATATGATCTCCATGTATAATACATAAGGGTGGGATATGATCCATGTAATAATACATGTTAAGGGGGGGATATATCTCCATGTATAATACATAAGGGGGGATATGATCCTCCATGTATAATACATAAGGGGGATATGATCTCCATGTATAATACCATAAGGGGGGATATATCTCCATGTATAATACATAAGGGGGGATATGATCTCCATGTATAAAACAAAGGGGGATATTAGAATATCCATGTATAAATGTAACATAAGGGGGATGATCTCCATGTATAATACATAAGGGGGGGATATGATCTCCAGTATAATACATAAGGGGGGGGGGATATGATCTCCATGAATAATACATAAGGGGGATAAAATCTCCATTTATAATACATAAGTGGGGGATATGATCTCCATGTATAATACATAAGGGGGATATGATCTCCATGTATAATACATAAATAATCTCCATGTATAATACATAAGGGGGGATATGATCTCCATGTATATAATACATAAGGGGGGATATGATCTCCATGTATAATACATAAGGGGGGATATGATCTCCATGTATAATACATAAGGGGGGGATATGATCTCCATGTATAAATACATAAGGGGGATATGATCTCCATGTATAATACATAAGGGGGGATATGATCTCCATGTATAATACATAAGGGGGGATATGATCACCCATGTATAATACATAAGGGGGGATATGATCTCCATGTATAATACATAAGGGGGGATATGATCTCCATGTATAATACATAAGGGGGATATGATCTCCATGTATAATACTTAAAGGGGGATATGATCTCCATGTATAAATACATAAGGGGGGATATGATCTCCATTATAATACATAAGGGGGATATGATCCACATGTAAAATACATAGGGGGGATATGATCTCCAATGTATAATACATAAGGGGGGATATGATCTCCATGTAAAATACAATAAGGGGGATATGATCACCATGTATAATACATAAGGGGGGATATGATCTCCATGTATAATACATAAGGGGGGATATGATAAAAACCATGTATAATACATAAGGGGGATATGACTCCATATAATAATACATAAGGGGGGATATGATCTCCATGTATAATACATAAGGGGGGATATGATCTCCATGTATAATACATAAGGGGGGATATGATCTCCATGTATAATACATAAGGGGGGATATGATCACCCATGTATAATACATAAGGGGGATATGATCTCCATGTATAATACTATAAGGGGGGATATGATCTCCATGTATAATACATAAGGGGGATATGATCTCCATGTAAAATACATAAGGGGGGATATGATCTCCATGTATAATACATAAGGGGGATATGATCTCCATGTATATAATACATAAGGGGGATATGATCTCCATGTATAATACAAAAGGGGGGATATGATCTCCATGTATAATACATAAGGGGGGAAATGATCTCCATGTATAATACATAAGGGGGGTATGATCACCATGTATAATACATAAGGGGGGGGGGAGCTATATTATCTCCATGTATAATACATAAGGGGGGATATGATCACCATGTATGTAATACATAAAGGGGGGATAATTATCACCATGTATAATACATAAGGGGGATATGATCACCATGTATAATACATAAGGGGGGATATGATCTCCATGTATAATACATAAGGGGGGGATCTCCAATATTACAAAAGGAGGGGATAATCCATGTATAATACATAAGGGGGGATGATATCACCATGTAATAATACATAAGGGGGATATGATCTCCATGTATAATACATAAGGGGGGGATATGATCTCCATGTATAATACATAAGGGGGATATGATCACCATGTAATAATACATAAGGGGGATATGATCTCCATGTATAATACATAAGGGGGGATATGATCTCAAATGTATAATACATAAAAGGGGGGATATGATCACCATGTATAATACATAAGGGGGGATATGATCCTATAGTATGTATAATACATAAGGGGGATATGATCACCATGTATAATACATAAGGGGGATATGATCACCATGTATAATACATAAGGGGGGATATGATCTCCATGTATGTATAATACATAAGGGGGGATATGATCTCCATGTATAATACATAAGGGGGGATATGATCTCCATGTATAAATACATAAGGGGGGGATATGATCTCCATGTATAATACATAAGGGGGATATGATATCTCCATGTATAATACATAGGGGGGGGGGGAATATGATCTCCATGTATAATACATAAGGGGATCATGATCTTCCATGTATAAATACATAAGGGGGTATATGATCACACCATGTATAATACATAAGGGGGGAATATGATCTCTATGTAGGGCTCTAATACATAAAGGGGGGATATGATCACCATGTAAATACATAAGGGGGGATATGATCACCATGTAAAATACAGTAAGGGGGGATATGATCTCCATGTAATAATAATAAGGGGGGATATGTATCTCCATGTATAATACATAAGGGGGGATATGAACTCCATGATATAATACATAAGGGGGATATGACACCATGGTATTCAAATACAAGAAAGGGGATATGATCTCCAAGTAATAAATACATAAGGGGAAATGATCTCCATGTATAATACATAAGGGGGATATGATCTCCATGTATAAATACATAAGGGGGGATATGATCTCCATGTATAATACATAGGGGGGGATATGATCTCCATGTATAATACATAAGGGGGGATATGATATGATACAATAACCAGGGGGGAATAAGATCTGCATACATAAGTGGGGGTCTATTATCACTCTATGTATAATACATTAAGTGGGGATATGAACACCATTTATAATACATCATAAGGGGGATAAGATACAACCATGTAATAAATACATAAGGGGGGATAGTGATTCTCCATGTATAATACATAAGGGGGATATGATCACCATGTAATAATACTTAAGGGGGGGGGGGGATAATGATCCTCCATGTATACATTTTACATGAAAAGAATTATCATATGGTGCCACAGAGTTGCATGACCTAGCTTAATTGTCATTCCAAGTGAAACAGCGCTGAAAGCTGAAAATTTGAACCACCTGGGCATGAAAGAAGGGTATAAGAGCCTCCGTCAGTGCGATGGGTTAAAATGAGGTCCGTCTTTCATTTTTTGTTTGAGCAATGTACATTTTGAACAAATCGATCAGCCCAGATTTGAAAAAAATAATATGTCCCTACAATGAATAAGCCATCATGACAGTGTTGATGAAATGCCAGCAGCTGACGAAAATGACTGCCCATCAACAAACACTGACCAACACCGGTCTCCAACAATCATAGAATGACCATCGTTGGCCTTTACTATGTACACAAATGGGTGACATCACAGAGCCACCCCCTGAGAACCCCACCCATTAGACCATCATAGTAACCATGACCGCATGCTTGGATACGGGTCTTCGTAATGAATTTTGGGGGGAGGCCATGTTTTCCGCCATGGGGTTCACCTTAAAATTCATACCTAAAACTAAAGGGCCTGGTATGGGTTTGGGTGGTGCCCATACATTTATTTTTTTTGCGGGTTCCTAACAACCAATTAAATCACTGCAAAAAAACTAGAAGCTTTAACAAAAAAGACAAGAGGGGGAAAAATGCACTGGAACGTATTAAAACGCATGAAAATGTATCAAACACATGCATCTGGATCACAAAAGCATGGTGTGAATCAGCCCTTATTACTAGATGTACAATGCTCTGTGTGAATATTAGTACTTCTTCTTGAAGAGTGGGTTATGTAACGATACTACAGGTTTGTGCCAATATCTACTTCTATCTTTGTCTGTGAAGAGTCGGGGAGGGAAGAGGAAGTCCATCTGCGTCGGCGTCTTTCCACATATAATGCAGATATTGTAACAATATAAGTTCCTCTTTGGATGTTTTATAATCAGCAAAGATTGTCCTGATATCAGTTACTAATCATGATGTCCCATGTGCTGGTCCTGCTCATGCTGTGTCTATGGGGTATGTAGTATATATAGTCTGTAGTGATTCTTATATACAGTGTGCTGGTCCTGGTCATGCCGTGTCTATGGGGTATGTAGTATATACAGTCTGTAGTGATTCTTATATACAGGGCGCTGGTCCTGCTCATGCCGTGTCTATGGGGTATGTAGTATATATACAGTCTGTAGTGATTCTTATATACAGGGCGCTGGTCTGGTCATGCTGTGTCTATGGGGTATGTAGTGTATATACAGTCTGTAGTGATTCTTATATACAGGGCGCTGGTCCTGCTCATGCTGTGTCTATGGGGTATGTAGTATATACAGTCTGTAGTGATTCTTATATACAGGGTGCTGGTCCTGCTCATGCCGTGTCTATGGGGTATGTAGTATATACAGTCTGTAGTGATTCTTATATACAGGGTGCTGGTCCTGCTCATGCCGTGTATATGGGGTATGTAGTGTATATACAGTCTGTAGTGATTGTTATTATACAGGGCGATGGTCCTGGTCGTGCCGTGTCTATGGGGTATGTAGTATATACAGTCTGTAGTGATTCTTATATACAGTGTGCTGGTCCTGCTCATGCCGTGTCTATGGGGCATGTATTATATACAGTGTGTAGTGATTCTTATATACAGCAGTAAATTTATATATGGCCTGTAGCAGGGGTGGACTGACAACTCATGGGGCCCCCGGGCAATAGGGGATCATGGGGCCCCTGTGTCCTTGCCCAAAACTCAAAAAAGCCTATGAAAAAGGTACCAGGGGCATCTCATGGGGCCCCCTACTGATCCCGGGCCCTTGGGCAGTGCCCGAGTTTCCAAATGGTCAGTCCGCCTATGGTCCTGTAGTATTATATGTAGCATTGGCTGCTAATTCTGTGCTCTCTATACACACTGATCAGCCATAAACATTATGACCACTGACAAGTAAAGTGGATAAACATGGATTGTCTGGTTACAATGACATGTGGGAGTCAGTGGGATATATATTAGGCAGCGAGTGAACATGTCCCTGACGTTGACGTGTTAAAAGCAGAAAAATGGGCAATTATAAAGACTTGGACAATTGCTCAAATGGCTGCTGCATGACTGGGTCAGAGCCACTTCAACGTGGCAGCTCTTGTGGAATGTTCCCGGTCTGCAGTGCTGAGCACCTTTCTGAACTAGTCCCGGAAGGAGAAAACATGTCAACTGGGGACATGGGGCTACTATGGGTGGCCAAGGCTCACTGATACACGGGGAGAGCGAAGGCTGACCCATGTAGTCTGATCCAGGGTACCACTGTCCATGCTGACCCGTGTCCACAGTCAAAAGCAGAATTTGGAATCTGATGGTTTGATTGCTCCTGTGGACAGGTGTCTTTTTTATACAGGTAACACAATGAGATTAGCAGCAACTCCCTTTAAGAGACTGCTTCTAATCTCAGCTTGTTACCTGTATGAAAGACACCTGGTAGCCAGAAATCCTGCTGAATGATAGGGGATCAAATACTTATTTCCCTCATGAACATGCAGATCAGTCATCATTTGTTAGACATGTATTTCTGCTGAATTTGTTGTTGCTATTCTGTCTCTCAGTGTTACAATACACCAAACATTCGATTTTTTAGACCAATCATTTCTTTGTGAGGGGCGAACATTCAAAATCAGCCGGAGCAAATACGCATTTCCTTCACTGTTATGTGTGTGTATATATATATATATATATATATATATATATACACACACACAGTATCTCCCAGAAGTGAGTCCACCCCTCACATTTCTGTAAATATTTGATTCTCTCTTTTCATGTGACAACACTGAAGAAATGACACTTTGCTACAATGTGACGTAGTCAGTGTACAGCTTGTATAACATGGAAAATTTGTTGTCCCCTCAAAATAACTCAACACACCGCCATTAATGTCTAAACCGCTGGCAACAAAAGTGAGTCCACCCCTAAGTGACAAGGTCCAAATTTGGCCCAATTAGCCAATTCCCCTCCCCAGTGTCATGTGACTCGTTAGTGTTACAAGGTCTCAGGTGTGAATGGGGAGCAGGTGGGTTACATTTGGTGTTATCGCTCTCACTCTCTCATACTGGTCACTGGAAGTTCAACATGGCACCTCATGGCAAAGAACTTTCTGAGGATCTGAAAAAAAGAATTGTTGATAGTGGAATATTCTCCCAGGTAGGGAGCAGGGGTGTTGTTGGTCAATGTCAGGCTCTCTCTGTGGGAGGGGGAAAGGGGGGGGGGTGTTGGTCATGTCCATGGGGCCAGACGATTTTTGTGTTGCCTAGGGCAGCACAAAACCTAAATACACCACTGCCCCTGCAAGACTTCTGTTTCAATGGAGAGACAGTTGCAGTTATTGAAAGAATGTCGTTTAGAAGCTTCTTTCAGAAATACCGAATAACAACATTATTATATTGTTTGTCACGTTTTCTAGCAGATTCAAATGAACAGCAAATTATTTATTTATTTCAGATTCTTATATATCACCATCAATTTACATATATATTGTATATTCACATCAGTCCCTAACCCTCAAGGGGTGTACAATCTAAGGTCCCTAACCCTCAAGGGGTGTACAATCTAAGGTCCCTAACCCTCAAGGGGCATACAATCTAAGGTCCCTAACCCTCAAGGGGTGTACAATCTAAGGTCCCTAACTCTCAAGGGGCGTACAATCTAAGGTCCCTAACCCTCAAGGGGCGTACAATCTAAGGTCCCTAACCCTCAAGGGGCGTACAATCTAAGGTCCCTAACCCTCAAGGGGTGTACAATCTAAGGTCCCTAACCCTCAAGGGGCGTACAATCTAAGGTCCCTAACTTACATTCATACACATATTAAGAATAATTTAGACAGGATCCAGTTAACCTACCAGCATGTTTTTGGACTGTGGGAGGAAACGAGAGTACAGTACCTGGAGGAAACCCACACAGGCACAGGGAGAACATACAAACTCCAGGGAGGTGATGCTGTGGTTGGGATTTGAACCAACGATCCGAGTACTGCCAGGCGGGAGCGCTAACCATTTAGCCATTGTGCTGCTTAGATACAAGTAAGAATTTCAAATACACAACTTTTCTATGCTATGAAAAGAAAAGAACCACAAAAAAACCCTGTAATTTCCCCTTCCCATTTGACTCCAATGCGTTTTGTCAAAACAGAAAATTTACTGAAGTCATCAGATTTTTCAGGTTTCATAATTTGTTTTAATTTTAGGGAAATCAGAACTCTCGGTTTCCCTCACAATATAATTGACATAAGCGCCGGGACAAATGTTTGTTGGAATAGACACACAGATATTGGAAAGCGAATGTCCACCTTTTAAAATATGATTTCTTGTCCTTTTTCCTACCTGAGTGATAATCCCGATATGTTCTTTTCATAGGCGGGTTCCATGAAACTTCCACACAATACTGCATCGATCAGCCGAGAGGAAGGGAATCGGTGGTTGGAGGAGCGATAACAATCCCCTGCCAGATTGCCTTTCCAGTAGAGAACAAAATCGCGTCTGTAAATCTTGCAGTAAAAGCATCACCCACCGAAAATTATTGTGGACGTCAAGAAGATGAAATTTACAATGACACAGAAACCCCCAACATATCCCCCAGCTATTCAGGCAGACTAAGCGTCCATCTGGATCCAAACTACAGAAATGCGACCATAACTATAAATAATTTAATTCCTTCTGATGCTAAAAATTATTGTTTCCGTTTAAAATTAAAATTTCAAGACACTGAAGAGATTCTACACCGGCAGAATCCATATGGAACTCGCGTTTTCGTAAAAGGTAAGGCAAGAACAAATGTTTTAATGGCCAACATCAGCCCCCCCTTTTTCCCTTTTAGCACAACACACTTTTTCTGTTAGGCCCCATGAACACGGGACGCTTCTGAACGATGGAAACTGACTGCTGGAAAACGTAGGTTAAAAAATGTCTGTTTATGCGCATTTCAGTTTAGAAGCGTTTTTTAAAGCTAAGCACACACCTCCCACATGCCCAGAATGCACTGAAAAGTGGTAAATTATGAACTATCTCAGACTGTTTCCAAGAAATACAGAGAGTAGAAGCAGAGACAGCAGTATGTGCTGAGATTAGCTTAGGTGTGAGTTGCTCACAGGGGCGGACTGACAACTCATGGGGCCCCCGGGCAATAGGGGATCATGGGGCCCCTGTGCCCATGCTCAAACTCAAAAAAGCCTATGAAAAAGGTACCAGGGGCATCTCATGGGGCCCCCTACTGACCCCGGGCCCTCGGGCAGTGCCCGAGTTTCCAAATGGCCAGTCCGCCCCTGGTTGCTCATTAACATTTCTTTTGTTTCCAAGGGTGGGAAAGGTGTCTGGTGGAGGGAGTAATTACTGCTCACCCATTGGTAGCTAGAGATTACTGCATATCAATGGATTGGTTGCATATCAATCATTGATTGGTTGCTAGAGGTTACTGCACATTATTACTGCTCACTGATTGCTCCCTACTGTTCATCCCACACCTTTACTACCACTGTACCCCATCCCACACCTTTACTACCACTGTACCCCATCTCACACCTTTACTACCACTGTACCCCATCCCACACCTTTACTACCACTGTACCCCATCCCACACCTTTACTACCACTGTACCCCATCCCACACCTGCACTCCTATGCAACCCATGTGCCCCCTGCCATTACTGCACTTTGCCTCTCTACCACTGCCACCAATACTCCTCCTGCATACCTCTGTACCCTTAGCATATCTCACCCATACTCTTTGTCACCACTGTACCCCCAGCACCATTTTTTCTTCTTCTTTTTTCGACAGCCTAACCGTCCACCAGCATGCAATACAAACAAGCTGTGCTTCTGAGGAGGAGGAGGGGGTGGGACCAGGATGTTGTTTTCTACAGATTCCTTGCAAGAATTGGCACCTGCCTGCAGACCTGCCCACTTTCTCCCCACAGTGAAAGGGATGAGATACTAATGCCGCGAACCGCGGCTCCAATGTCCAGTCACCATGGTAACCAGGGCAAACATTGGCATGCTGCATATTACTGAAAATTGGGACCCAGCCTGTCAGGACACAGACATCCCGGGACAATGGACCAATTAGCGGGACCAGGGGCGGACTGACCATTTGGAAACTCGAGCACTGCCCGAGGGCCCGGGGTCAGTAGGGGGCCCCATGAGATGCCCCTGGTACCTTTTTCATAGGCTTTTTTGAGTATGGGCGAGGACACAGGGTCCCCATGATCCCCTATTGCCCGAGGGCCCCATGAGTTGTCAGTCCGCCCCTGAGCGGGACTTTCCTGAGACTGTAAGTATACTATTTGTGGGCTCCAGGGGCAGATGCTTTGGGCTCTCATAACAATTTCATGGCTTAGGGCAGCTGCCCCCTTTGTCCCGCGTTAAAGACAGCCTTGTCCTTACTAAATAGTTGATCCTGCAAAGAGAACATGACGTACCATGCTGCCCAACATCCAATTTAAACACTGATCACCCAGGACAGAAATCCTTCTACCTTCCTCTCTCAGCAGTCATGGATGGTGCTGAGGGACCAGTATAGTGCTCCATTGCTACACAGACAGCTCAGGTCCTCCCAGGTAGAAGCCAATTCCTCCTAAAAAAACAACACTAGTTATTGGAGAGTGACAATGGTTTCTAAAACGTTGTATGACAACAACTTCACCATGGATGGTCCCAGAAAGGTCATCAGACAGTCCAGCCTTCTCGGGTTGTTTCTGTTTTTTTCAGTGTTGGGCAGCTTATGAACATCTTGTCTTAAGTCAGGTTTGGCAATTCCTGAAGAGGTCTAGAGATGACCCATATTCCTGGATGACCTGAGCCCCGGCTCTGTGCAGGCTAGAGGAGGCACAGCAATGGACAGGACTCGGCAGCTTTTTTTGCGCACATTATAATGTATCATTGGAGAGACATTAGTTACAAGGACTATAAAATTATGTAACAAGTCAGGCAGGTCGGTAGGCAGCTTTACAGTCGGATAAAATAGTAGTAGTAGACAGGGGCATCCCTAGGGTTGGTGTCAGCAGGTGTGGTAATACTTGGTGTCACCCTTCTGACAATCCCCACAGGATGAATCGGATATGCGGATTGAGCATAATGGATCGGAGTCGGATCCATTATGCTCCCCAATCCGCAGATCCGATCCATCTTGCGAGGATCGTCGGCTTGCAACCTATACGGGGGTTAACTGATCTTTTAACACCGGTTCGGTCTGCAAAATGCTCAAGAAGTGGTCAGATGGAGGAGGTTCCTGCTGTCGTGGCTCCATTTCCTGGTTACGGACAAGTCCTGGATCTTGCACAGCCTTACCTAGATCAGTTAACCCCGTATAGGTTGCAAGCCGATGATCCCCGCAAGATGGATCAGATCTGAGAAATCTTTTTGAAAAACACCCTGGCATTTCTGGCAGTGGCCATCTTGAGTAAGGGCAGATGATTCATTTAGCATTTAATTCCTGGAATCCATCTGCCTTTAGCTCAGGCATTAGCTGAACTGAGAACTCTCCCTCCCTTCCTGAAGACTGCTGGGATGTATGACATCACTTGCCTAGGCATGGAAACCAGGAAGAAAAGAAAAAAAAAATATGATATACTTTCCTATCCATGTACTAATGCTAGCAGTGTAAGGATTGACAATCGTCCATGTTGACTGAAAGAGTGAAGTTCCACTTTAAGACCAAACCTTTTCTGACACTTTTTGTTTCCATGTAAAAATCAGTTTTTAATGCTAGAAAATTACTTAGAACGCCCAAACATTATATATTTTTTTAAAACCGGAGGCCATAGAAAATAAAATGGTTGGTGTTGCAATTTTTTGTGTCACGCAGTATATGTGGAGCGGTTTTTTCGAACGCAATATTCTTGGAAAAAATACACTTTTTAAAATTTTTATGGACAAAGAACACCATATAATACCCAATTGTTTGGTAAAATATAAAAGATGATGTTACGATGAGTAAATAGATACCAACCATGTCACACTTTAAAACTGCGCACATCCACGCAACTGCGACAAACAACCTACATTTTATTATTCATAGGCAACGCTATGAAAGATTTTACAGGTTACCACTTTAGATTTACACAGGAGGTCTGGTGCTAGAATTACTGCCCTTCATCTGACCTTCACGGTCATACCTCACATATGTGGGATGATCACTGTTTGCGTGCATGCGGACCATGGCTGGGTCTAAGGGGGTGATGGGGTGGGCTATGCCCCCCAAGATTTTAGTTGTGCCCCCAAAGCCAATCCTAACCTGCCACTAAACAACCCTAACCTGCCACTATACTGCCATAATCTGACATTTATACCACACTAATCAGATACTTTACTGCCCTAGCCTGACACTATACTGCCCTAGCCTTCCACTATACTGCCCTAGCCTTCCACTATACTGCCCTAATCTGACATTATACCACCCTAATCAGATACTTTACCGCCCTAGCCTGACACTATACTGCCCTAGCCTTCCACTATACTGCCCTAGCCTTCCACTATACTGCCCTAATCTGACATTATACCACCCTAATCAGATACTTTACTGCCCTAGCCTGACACTATACTGCCCTAGCCTGCCACTGTACTGCCCTAGCCTGACACTATACTGCCCTAATCTGACAGTATACCACCCTAATCGGATACTTTACCGCCCTAGCCTGCCACTATACTGCCCTAATCTGACATTATACCACCCTAATCGGATACTTTACCGCCCTAGCCTGCCACTATACTGCCCTAATCTGACATTATACCACCCTAATCAGATACTTTACCGCCCTAGCCTGCCACTATACTGCCCTAATCTGACATTATACCACCCTAATCAGATACTTTACTGCCCTGGCCTGACACTATACTGCCCAAATCTGACATTATACCACCCTAATCAGATACTTTACCGCCCTAGCCTGACACTATACTGCCCTAGCCTGTCACTATACTGTCCTAATCTGACATTATACCACCCTAATCAGATACTTTACCACCCTAGCCTGCCACTATACTGTCCTTGATCTCAGTTATGCGTTGTGTGGGGAGGAGGAGTTCTGCTGCCTGTGCCCAGGCTGTGTGCAGTGCAGGGACGGGAGAAGGAGCAGTGCCCCTGTCCTCTGCCCTGCTGACCTCCTATCCTCTGCCCCCTGACATTTGTTGATGCACCCCCACATTGGACAGGCTAGATCCGGCCCCGATGCGGACCAACATGCGCGTTTGCCTTTTGCGCGCAAGCATGGAGGGATGGGGGCGCCCTGTTACACTGTCGCTTGTAGTTTTTTTAATCACTTTTATTGTTATAATAGAAATATCTATATATGAATAAAAATATCTCCATGTGACAGCAATAGGCAGTGACAGGGACTCTTTATTCCTCTGACCTTAAAAACATCTGATCACACCAAGATCACCATCACTCATTTCTTCCAGTTTCCTGTATCATAGAGGTGATCAGAGATGATCTGGTCTCTGTTTGCCTCTATGACCAGCCAGTGGAAGTGCTGTCTCGTCACCCGGGTCTCCTAGTGAGATGAGAGCACGATATGACAGACCCAAGGAAAGTGGTCGGAGGAGGTGGTGGGGGGGGGGGGGGACGTTTTCTGCTGTCTGTAAAAGCACTCCAGTGGCTAATTATCCTAAATATACAACACCAGGATGATGCCTGAAACAATCAATATTGGCAGAGCCAAGATATCAATATTATCAGGGCCTAGATATAGTAACTAATTATAGGAGAAGACAAGATAGTACATATTTATAATTCAAGGAGGGGGGGAAATCCGAAAAAAAAAACCCACCCCTATTTATTTCACCGAAGGAAACCCACACAGGAACAGAGAGAACATGCAAACTCCAGGCAGGTAGAACCACGGTTGGGATTCAAACCTATTGCTTCCAGACAGAAGTGCTAACCACTTATCCCCAGCGCTGCTCACTGCTTGATTAAAAACACGTTTTCACTGCTAAAACGGCCCTGAAACACAGACTTTTTTTTTTCAAAAGGAAAATTATTCAGATTGGGGTGTTGCTTTATGTAATCCTGCCAATTGTGAAAGGAAATAAAATCAGTTCTGCAGTCTAATAGGCACCACCAGTGAACTTTGTCAAACTGAATGCGGATAGATACTCTCAACTTTACACCGCGTTCCAAATTATTATGCAAATTCTATTTAAGTGTCACAAAGATGAAATATTTTGTTCTTCAGTTTAACTCATGGACGGCATTGTGTGTCAGGGCTCTTTTGATCACTGAAAACAATCTCGGACACCTGTGATAATTAGATTGGCTGGTGAGCCCAATTTAAGGAAAAACTACTAAAGGAGGGTGTTCCACATT